ATACTGCCAAAACGTTGCGGATATAACATTTACGATAACTGTTTTTAGTAGTGACAACAGAATAAACAATTATAACTCTCATATTTCTACAAAAATTTTCCTTTTTATTTTCGGACGACTAGAACAGTTTTTGTACTTTTGTTTTAAAATGAAATTTGTATTAATGGCTAAAGAAAACTAATCCGTTAATTAGTCGACTAAACAACCGGCGTTTAATCAATTTGTCAATTTATGGAGGCGACTAATGATATCAACCGAAGCAATATTATGCTGGTGAAACTAGAAATCACAGAATGCACAACGCGCAAAATGTGTTCTCTAGAACAGAAAGTTAATTGTTTTGGATTTGATGTCAAAGGAATCATTATTCCTTTGGAACGGGCCTATAATTTTCTAGAACGAAAGTCTTTTCTTTTTTACAAATACTTTAATTTGGAAAGCATTTTGCATCCCCTTGTAAATCTTCATTGACCTTTTTAATGTGGAAACGACTATAAAATTAGAAACCAAAAATAATAAAACAAACATATGAACCATATAGATCCTTAATTTTGATATTGCTTGAAAAGTGGAACTCTTCGGCTAGTCTAAATCTAGACTGAGCCTCTTTTACTGTTTTAACCTCTATCTTGATAAGTCTATTTCTTTGGGACTGACATAAACTATTTGTATATATTAGTTTACGAGCAAATTGATGCATGATAGTGTAGTCATCATGCATCAAATTCATTTTTAATTGGACTATTTTAAAGTTACACTAGTTGGTAACAAAATCTATTTCGAGCATGGAAGAAATCTAAAAACTAAGGTTACCAACAAATGATGGTAACTAAGCTATGAGAAAAAAGAATTACTAAATCATGATGAAACACAACTAAATCCATGATCAGGGGCAGCGTTGAGGAACCACAGAGCCCACAATTTTTATAGTTTTTTGGGAGATTAGCTAGAGTAAACTATTTTTTTTTAAATAGTTAGAATAACATTACTTTTTTTTATTGCTGAAATAACCTATTCATGATTTTTTTCTTTCATAATATCAAAATTGTCTTTCGCAAACTGTGCCGAGGTATTGGCAGATTCTGCCGAGGTATTGGCAGACTCTACCGAAACATTGACAGACTCTACCGAGATATTGGCAAACTCTGCCGAAACATTGGTAGACTCTACCGATGTATTGACAGACTCTGCCAATATCTAGAAATACGCAGTCTCTGCCGAAACATTGACAGACTCTGCCGAAATATTGGCAGACTCTGTCGAGATATTGGTAGACTATGCCGAAACATTGGTAGACTCTGCCGAGATATTAACAGAGTTTGCCAGTATATAGAAAAATGTAGAGTATGCCGACACATTAATAGACTCTGCCGAGATATCGGCAGATACTGTAAAAAAAATGCAGACTTTACCTAGATATTGACAGACTCTACTAAAAAAACGCAAATTCTGTCGAGGCGTTGGCAGAATATAACGAGGCATTGACAGACTCTGCAAAAAAAATGTAGATTTTACGAAAAAAATCATAATCTGCAAAAACATTGACAAACTTCTGGAGTGTTTTGTATTTTGTTGATTGTGGTTTTTTAAATTTTGTATCTATTTTTTTATTTGAAATGTTTTTTTAAATTAAAGCTATTTCTAATAATAATTAGTTAATAAGTATGTTTTTGGTATTATGAAGAAAAACGTAAAGTAGGTTATTTGGACAATAAAAATTTAAAGAGATTATCCTAGTAATTCTTTAAAAAAAATAGATTATTCTAGGTAAATTTTTCTAGTTTTTTTCCTTTGTATTTTGGGGACTAGATTTCTTTAACATTTGCAAAAAAGGTCCAAATTTTTTTGCTCAACTATGTACACCACATTTAAAAAAAAAAAATTGGCATAGGGCTCAAACATATAACCAGCACAAACATGAGACAACAACTATGGCCTTGATTGGTATGGCTTA